ATAAAGTAATTTTGAAGGTAGCGTCACGGCAACCGCTAAGAAAATCATATCTGAGGGTTCTGTTTTTGGCACAGAAAAAGACTGACACTCATCTTTCTTAAGTGTGTCGATCTTCAAAGATACTCGGAAACAAACAATTAGTAATATGGGGTCAAAATTGGGTAAAGCTCGGTTTTCGATTATTACACTCATTCACTTTTATATTCAGATGACATAGTTGCATCGCCTTCGTTGGAGCAAGTGGCTGAAAAAAAAGTAAAACTCGCATATTGAGTTTCTGAAACAAAAGTCATTGATGTTGACTTTTTTTTTGTGCGTGCACATGAATATTTCACCATTGCTTTGAGGCGTGGATATCCTGGCAGCTTGAATTTTTTGGTCACGTTTTGGTAAGTTCCGGAAGAGAGTGTAGTTCTCGTTTGTAACGCGTGAAACTCTAGAAATCTTCTTTGGAAGCAGGAAGAGTTTCTTTGAGAGACAACAAAGGAGAGAAAAAGTCACACATTCCGTACCAAAAAGTCGATTGAATCTCTCTCTTTTCATATTTCTAACTTCAATCCTTAAAAGCACTTCTGACTAAACTTTAATTTTACTCAAACTGGAAACGTTTTTCGAAATTTCCTAACCCCAATATTTCACTCTTATGTGAAGGTGAAAGTTCAACAAAATTTACAGCGAGTACTGCGAGTTCCATGAAAGGGAAAAACAAAGAAAACATGGAAAAGTCACGCTTCTTACAGAACCACTTATAGTACTGCGACATGCCGATGCCTGCAAGGAGATGCAATGTAATACGACCAACTTTTGAGGGGTGGCCATAGAACACTCGCTGAAGCAAGAGAGACCGAGACCTATCTTCTGGTTTTTCTTTTTCACTCGGCTATCTGATCAACTAACTAAGGTTAGTGTCTTGCCCACTTTCAGGATTCTCTTGAATTCAAAAGTTACGTTATTGTCATACGCATTTTCAGCATTGTCTTCGATTGGATTGCTACTTTAGTATCTTTCACACTTTTAGGCTGCTCTTATTTTCGATTGCTATATGTTTATCACGAGCACTTTAAGTTAAGAAATTGTTGATGCTTAACGTGCGTATATCGAGTTATGGATGCACGCGGGAAGTTTGGAGAAGAAGAAAAATGCAGAAGGGTAGCTCGAGGCGCAGCCGAGAGCAACTCTGGCTTTTTGAGTGCTAGAGTGCTCTTTTTTGAGTGCCCTTCAAACTTCCCAAGTGCATCCATAACTCGATATACGCACAGCTTAAAGCATGAGCAAATTCTTTTATAACAGAGCGACAACAAGGATCTGCGCGAAGAAGCCTTTTATTGTGATAGAGCGCAAAATTCTCACGACGCACAAAAAAGTAAACAAACGTCCTTATTGGTTGGTCAAAAACACGCCAGATTTTATACTTTCGTTTGAGGGAGAACATTTGATCCAGTTATCCGATAACTGTGAATGAAAATTTGCGAAACGTGCAACTTGCGCGTTTTTTTGGGCTTTATTTTTGTTGCTTGTTGGATCAGGACCTAAAAGGTCAATGCCGATAGAAAAATTGGGAAGTTCTTCGCTGGTTTCTTCCATATTTAAAAGAGAAAGAAAACTGCATTGCAGCTTAACAGGACGGAAAGCCAGGTAAAAAAAAATTGATCACGTCATCTTATTTACGCACGGGCGTGCGTAGATAAAGATTTTGTTGATAGCGGCTTAACAGGACTTGTATAGGGCAAGCACGCGCGCTATCTTATAATTTCTCTTTCTTTCAATTGTTTGGTTGGTATCTCGCAGACTAGAAGCTTTTCTTTCAATCGATTATTACCCTGGTATCCTGGACACTTTTAGGATTCTCTTTTTTTCGGATTGTCACGTTAGTACCATACGCGCTTTTAGAATTCCATTTTGTAGATTATTACGTTAGTACTTCGCGCACTTAAAGAATTCTCATTCGTCAGATTGTTACGTTAGTACCTCGCGCGCTTTTAGAATTCCATTTTGTTGATTATTACGTGAGTACCTCGTGCACTTTAAGAATTCTCCTTCATTGGATTGTTACGTTAGTACCTCGCACGCTTTTAGAATTCCATTTTGTAGATTATTACGTGAGTACCTCGTGCACTTTAAGAATTCTCATTCATTGGACTGTTACGTTAGTATCTCGCTCACCTTAAGAATTCTCTTTTGTTGGATTGTGTCACAGCATCTCGTGCACTTTTAGGATTTTCTTTCATTTAATTTTAACGTTAATATCTTGCACACTTTTAGGATTTTCTTTCATCGGATTGTTACGTTAGTATCTCGCGCTCTTTAAAGATTCTTTATCATTTGATTGTTGCATTTGTATCTTGTGCCCTTTAAGGATTCCCTTCCATTCACTACTGCTTCGTGCCCTTTTACACTTTTGATTGTTTGGTTCGTGTTTTGCCCACTTTCGGGATATTCCTTCACTGGAAAGTTACGTTGGTGTCTCGCGCATTTTTAGGATTTTCTTAGATTGGCTTGTTATGTTAGTAGCTAATCTTTTAGCTTCTATCTCTGTTTTCTCTTAAAGTTTCTCTTTCAGTTGATTTCAGTTCAGGTATGTCAGGCAGTTTTAGGATGTTCTTTGATTACACTGTTACGACAGCATCTCCGCGCATTACCTATCTCGTAACTGTCTCGCGCAGTCTTAGGACTGCCTTACATTCGATTGTTACGTTAGTCTCTCCTGTAGCTTAGTATGCTAGTGTTTTCATCCATTGTTTCGTTAGTATCTAGTGCCGTTCTATTTGTAGTCTTTTGTGCCCTCTTAGGATTTTAATCAAAGATCACAGATAAGAGACTCGTTGATTCCGATGTTTAATATGACAATGATTTAATTTCCTACACAGCAGGAAACGAATGACATGACCAAGACAACCTCTTTTTTACGCTGTCATCGTTCTAGAAATTGAGTAGGGGAAAAGATCTTTAACGTGCTACAAAATGGACACTAGGATGGATGATATGCAACGTTTAAGCTCACCTAAATCAAAGATGGCGTCTAGTTATCGATCGAGATGCATGTGCTGCATTTTAGAAACAAACTTAACGAGGAAGTTTGCCGCGGATTTGTCTTTGCAAATCTTTTTAATTCACTAGATCTCTTGGTAAGGTTGTGATGAAACATTCTAGTCGCCAATTTGGCGACTAATTTTCAGGATTTGGTCGCCAAAGTGAAAAATTTAGTCGCATTGGCGCCTGTACTGGGCGCAATTTCACGCCCTGATTATGCGATTTTTTGTTAAGGACAATTGACAAAACAGAATTTACGTGAAGACGGTTCTTATCTTATCTTATCTTATCGACGGAAAGCAGTTTTCACATCTTAAAAAGAAAAGCAACTTACGCTTCCACGTCCTCGGACAATCCAAGTTTACCCGGAAATATTTCAGACATGAGTACAATTACATATTCCAGGCCCGCCTTGCTGAATCGTTCTTCTAACTTATGCAGATAAAATTAAAAGATGAAAGGATTCATGAAATCTGCTTTATGAACTCTTTGGAAAAGATGATAACATGAATATTAACCGTCACGAGCAAAATATCCCTGAACTAGGGGTGTCCCCTCAATGACGGCATCGAATACAAGGGTTTTAATCAAAGTTTGTGTCCCTCAAGTAGAGAAAACGTTTTATAAGGATGCCCAAAAAATAGAGATTCTTCTGCATAGACGAAAATATTCCACACATTACATCGTAAGAAAACTGGAGAATTTATATTTAAATTTGCAGCCTTCCTCAAAGTTAATTGCATCAGAAAAACTTATATTTAGATGCGAGAATGACTTGATTTTGTCCAGAGAGAGTTTGAGTCATGTCTTAAAGTGCATTTCGATAGTGTGCCGTAATACCAAAAACATAGTAGTCACCAGCAGATGTCCAATCACTACGTTGGAAAATATAATCAAAACCCGATGGGAACTAAAATTAAAAGGTACGGTGAGAGTAACATTATTGACCGAGTCACGATTGGTATTTGCCTTGCACCTGATTGGTTGAGAGGGTAGCTTGGATTGTTCACGTCAGTCAACCCATGACATGGCGAACTGATAGCCGATTACTTTCAACGCACAACTGAAGGTTTAATTTTGCATCACCACGCTGTGGTCGGTGGCATGTGCCTAAATGATAGCTGCTGCTTATAATCAAAATGGTAAATACAGTGACAAAACAAGCATTTAATTAGGAATAATTGCAATAATAACACATTAATCAAAAACATAACACCCACTTATCTGTTTCCCAATTTAGTTTTTGATAACACTTTTACTCAATTTCCACCCAATTAAATGATTAACCCTTTCACTCCTATGAGTGACCAAGAGAGAATTTCTCCTTACAATATCAATACAATATCAAGCAGACAAGTGATGAACTAAAGGAAAATATCAATTAGGGTAGTTGTAGTTCATCCAGTACCAAATTCTCCACACTAATATCAAAAGAATTGTATGGTAGACAGTAAGGAGAATTACTAATGAGATCTTGGGAATGAAAGGGTTAAATGATTTTAAGTTAGTCCTCAGAACAAACATGATTATTTTAGTCAAAGCGGGCACCATTGTTGCTAGGCAACATTACTAAACAATAAATATGCCATAGACACAGCAGGAAGAATGCCAAACAATTCTTCCAGAAATAAGACAGAGGCTCTATGGGAGTTTTCCTGACAAAACAACGGATATGGTGAAAACACGAACAAACTGACTAATTTTCATCCTAACTACAGTGATCCTTGGCTCAGAACATTGTTTTATTTATAAGCAAATAGCTTCAGATCTAATGGTGCAAATTTTTAATGAAACTAAACCACTACAATACTTACAACTAGATTTGCCAATACAAATAATAAGAAAGATTTTCAAAAGAATATTCAATTTGCTTAAGAATACTTTCTATGAAAGAGTTGGTGCAGTTTTCTTAAATTCATAATGAACTAAATTACATAATTATTTCCTTGTTTTGCTTAATAATAATTTTCTTACATGAATGCATCCTTGTGTTTTATTCTAGAAGCAGTGCAGCCCAGAATCTCTCCAGGTGACAATGGTTTACACTGCGGAATCTCTACCTGATAATCTTTACACAGGTCTTGATATACAGCCTGGGTAAACAACAAATTAAATACATATATGTAAAAATTATTTGAAAGTATGAACACAATAAAAGGAGACACTGGGTCAAAACCACAGGGTTTAAGTCTCAGCCAAGTCACTGTGTTGCATTCTCTCTCCCCTCTCTCTAGCCTGGAGAGAAATGGGTACTGGTGTGTTGTCATGGAAACTTGACAAAATGCCTGATAGGGAACCATGTGAGATGCTCCTCCCATCCAGAAGAAGCAGTCAGTCGACCGACTGTCGACTGACTGTCAACCAATATATTGGTTAAGTATCAACCAACTCTCAACCAATATATTCAGTCAAGAGTACTGTACCTACAATAAACATGATCCCAATACTGTCCCATCAGTGTAATCATTTAATACATACTTGAAGTGTTGTCACAAACTGGACTGTGCTCAAAAGTGCAAGTGACTTTCCGGCTTCAAAATTGTGTCTGACTGTGTTGACAAAATGTGTGGCATCCAGCTTTATGTCCACAAATACATATAACATCTTGATTCCTTTAGTTGAGTCAATAGGAACTATAAAACAATGAACAAATAATGAACCTTTTCACATTATCTTACCTACAGTACTGTATATATGGTTACTAATTGTTTAGGGTCTTTCAATTTTGCATCAATAGAAGAGACCAAAAGTTGCAAATATAATGAGTCGAATTTCATGAGGGATATCTTGTAGCAAAACAACTTAGTCTAATAAAGTGTCATTTTCAGTCTTCATAACCATATTTGATAAAAAGAAAGTGCTAACTTTCAACCAACTATCTTCATGGTCATTGTAGTAGTTATAAAGCTTTATTTGAACTTGCTTATTGTTTAGCACACCAGTGCTAGTTTGAGTGAATATATACATAAATAAATCACAATTAAAAAAAAGAAAAAAAAAGAAGGAAAAATTGATTCATCACTTCATGGTTTTATTATGAACCAACATAATGTCCAGCTCCCAGTTGGTTTGTTAGCTCAGTAATGGTAGAGCACTGCATTGGTATCACAGAGGTCATGGGTTCGAATCCAGTACAGGCTTGAATTTTTTTCATACATTCATAGCCACTGATTGCAACACTATTGTTTGCATCAAAATACCATGCTACTGACATTGAACTGTTGTGTTGCTCAAGCATCAAAGTTATAAAGCAAGGATTCCTCAAAAAAAATATCATTCAAAACTTAGACATATCTACCAGTAGAGAACAGAAAGCAAGGGCAATAAAAACACAGGGAAACTTAAGAGAACTATGAAGTATAAGGTGAGACAAAGGGGACTTCAAAAGGTGAAACTGGGAGGTTAGAAGAAAAAGATCAAGGCTGAAAGGATTTAGTTGTGGTATAATATGAGTTTACATTATGATGAAGAAGATTAAGTGATGTCTATCAACATTTTTTTTCTCTTACTCAAGCAGCTGTAGCCACAGTGAACCATAAGATCACAACCAAGAGCCCTCGCAGTGAAGTCATCAACACAGCAAGCACCATACGTGACATCCCGCATGATGACTGTATCACAACCTATGAATCTAACACAAAAGTCCCACTGAGTACAATGGCAGTCACCCAGTGCAAAAAAGTATGCATGTGCAGATTATCTTGCAGTTGTAATCCTTCAGAATCCATCATAGATCATATAATTATTATATGATAATAATAAATTAATAAAGGGGGTAAGTTTGTAAAGAAACTGTGGTGCTGAATTGGTGGTGGAGTATAACAGGTTAATTTAGTATTATCAACTGAGTTAATAGTGTAAATTGACCACCATAAAGAGTTTCAAAGCTGAGTTTCAAGTGTTAGTCCTTTGCTCTGACAAAGGGCTAACACTCAAAATGTCAGCTTTGAAATTATATGATAAGCTGAATTATGCACACATTTTGAATGGTTTTTACTTAATATGAGCTATTGTGGGACAGATGCATACAATTTAGTTGATGTCACTATTGACAACATTTTGCTTTGTTACCACATAAAACAAATAGATTAGACTGTATTGCTGTGGGTTTGTACAGTAATAGATTGCAGAAGACGTCAAAAAGGGTTAAGACCATCAGTGACACACTGTCACTGAACAGATACACGGCAATATGGAATCTTTTTGTTAATTGACAAATGCCTGGCATACTTAAGCAAGCTGTCAGTAGGTAAACAGCTGGCTTGCAGTCCATTCAAAGTGATATAATTATCAATTGCTACTTTTTACAATCCTTCCAACATATGAAATGTATCAAATAATTTATGTGTACAAATAACAAACATAAGAAAAGTTTGGCAGGAATTGGTTTGAAATACCTTTCTAAAATGTCTGCTGTCCTTCAGGAAACTGTAATGCCACTGATGATTGGAAAAAACAAACAAAAAAAAACATGAAACTGACATTGATTTATGCCTATTGTGGTTGAAGATGACATTATATTTTTTCATTTTTTTCATGGCAACATTTGAAGGCCAAGGTCTGCATACAAGATCAAATGACAGAGGGACTAAAGCTTATCATGATTTCTATAGCATGTATTGATAAGGAGAACTGCATTTCCACCTCACCCTTTCTTTTGTACTCATGGAAGATGCCATTATGCTGCAGCATAATGGTTAGTGCACTGGACTCTGGCTGGAGAGGTCTGGGTTTGAGACCTGGCCAGGTCATTCTGTTGTGTTCTTCAACAAAACACTTCATTCTCACAATGCGTCTCTCTACCCAGGAGTATGAATATATACTGGCCAATTGTCAGGGAAGTCTGATAAAATGCTGGGGAGTAACCTAGTGATGGACCAGCATTCCATCTGGGGGGAGTTGTAATACTCCTTGTTGCTTCATGCTATGAAAACCCAGATAAGATCCTCTTGAATCAGGGCCACTTGGCTGGAGTAACGACTTCATCTTTTTTTCTTTGCACTCAGGTGGAGAAAGGCATTATAAGGTGGAATCAAGTGTGTTGCATAAGAACAAGACACAAACAAAAATTAACAACTAATGTGGCTTATTTACCTCTTTCAGCATTTATTTCTTAACTCCTCCACACTGACTTGAAGATTTCAAATTGTAGTTAGGAGGTAACTGTTGTAAAAGGAATAATTATCTCGGTTAGAAAGTAATATTTACCCTGATCTCTATTGGTGCAAAATCTGATATATAGAAAATGAATTGTAGCTAGTTGGTTAAACTGTTGTGACCTGTTTTTGATGATGACCATTCCAGACAAATAACAGTTATCTAGAACACACTCTTTGTAAATGCCTCACATTTCAAATACATGTAAAAAAAAAAGTTGCAAAAAAAAAAAAAAGGTTTGGACAAGGATGGTTCATTTAGTACACAGACTGCAAAATTAAAATAAACTTGAAAAATAAGATCTGATTCTTAAATAACAATCCTACAGGCCTCAGTGACATCATGACATGCTGAAAAGGATTCAAGTTTGTGGAGAGCAACTTACAATACATTTATACTTAAAGAAGCCACATTTTAATTTCTTTCCACACTCAGTCAGCTCACTGAAAATCCCAATGATGAACCTAGTTGGATTTTATAAAACTAAATCAGTTGAAAGGGGCTTGAAAGTAATTAACTTACTTTTTCAACCCCTTTACTCCCAAGATCTCATCAGTAATTCTCATTACTGTCTTCCCAACAATTATTTTGATGTCAGTTCTGAGAAGTTGGGTATTGGATCAGCTATTAATCCCCTAATTGATATTTTTCTTCATTCTCATCACTTGTCTGCTTGATATTGTACTGATATTGTAAGGAGAAATTCTTTCCTGGTCACTTATGGGGTTAAAGGGTCAAGTGAACCGAGGGTCATGTGAAGTTTCTCATTATTTACCTGTCTCACAGCATCTTGCAGCTCAAGATTGTTGGCAATCTCATCTGGAATCTGACGAACAACTCTTCTCTTATTTGCTCCTATTTCTTGAATAACAGGGAATGTAAGGCATTTCAATAACAGTGACTTTTTTTTTTAATCTCTTGACAATATTTGCTCAAGGAACAGAAAGTTTGATCGGAATATTTTCAGCAAGATTTCCGTACAGTCCCATACATTTGTAAAACAAAGGTAATCTATTGTTTTCGCCATCGTTTTCTTTCAGCTATCCAAGATATGTATGCATAATGAAGAATGGAGCTGAGCGGAAATCTTACCATATGTCATGTATTACTTAAGAACTACACACCCCAAACAATATGGCGGTTCGGCAAGTAAAAGACTGTTTAATGAAGCCTCATGCGTGCGCATGAGCAAACCATATATGGTAATACACAACATACAACACACTGGAAAACCATAACATTCCTCCACACATAAAACGATCTGTCCCTAGCTTTCAAAACAAGCCCTAAAATACAATTTCAAGGAAAACGTAAAATAAACCAACAGTGTCCGGTAACCACAGTTCGAAAGGTAAGAACGACCTTTAAACAAGAAAACGAACAGAATAAAACAAAGTTCAGAGATCAAGCCTCTGTGGTGCCCTGCGAACTCTCTGAGGGTGTTGTCGCATTTTGACCATCGGACTAACTGTAGCTGGTTTAGCATCAGGAGGGTCAGGTACCGTAGGTGTGGAAACAGGAACCATCTTTGGTTGATCTTTTTTGGAACCTCCTGGAGCTGTGCCGCCCTCAGTGGTTGGAGTACTCGATGTAATCGGGGTCAGTGGTGTGTTGGCCATTTCAGGTTGGCTGACTTCAACACTACAGTCGGCGTCAGTGCTTTCAACTGTGTGTCCAACTGCCGTTGGTCTCAACTGATCAATATGTCGGCGCCAGGTCAGTCCCGGTGCCACCTGTACCTCATACATCAGCGGACCTGTTTTGTTAACAATCAGCCCTGGACGCCACTTCAGATCCCCTCGATAATCCCGTGACATAACTGAGTCACCAATCTCTAACTGGCGATACTGTTTACCCTTGTCAATCGCTGCCTTAATGCTCTGCTGGTGTTGTTGGTTAACCATCTTACGGTTTAAGTTAGGTTTCACCAAATCTAGGAGAGTACGCAATGGTCTTCCCAGGAGTAACTGTGCTGGGCTCTCACCGGTGGTGGAGTGTGGAGTGTTCCTGTAAGCTATGAGAAACTTCGCCAACTTCTCCCTCACTGGCTTGGGGCTTTGACGCATGGAACGCAAAGCCTGTTTGAAGGTCTGTACTGTCCTTTCCGCAAGACCATTCGTCGCTGGATGGTACGGTGCTGAAGTTATATGGCGGATGCCATTGGACTTGACAAATGTCTGGAATTCCTCCGAAACAAACTGTGTACCATTGTCACTGACTATCTGTTCTGGAATTCCGAATCTGGCGAACAAATCGCGTAGAATTTCGATAGTCGAACTTGAAGAAGTTGACTTGACTGGAACCACTTCTGGCCACTTGGTGTGTGCGTCGACAACCACTAAGAACATCGAGTTCTGAAATGGCCCTGCGTAGTCGATGTGTATACGCTGCCATGGTGTAGTGGCCCACTCCCACGGATGTAGTGGTGTTTTAGCAGGCATCTTCTGATTTTGCTGACACCCGCTGCAGCCTTTCGCTAGCTCTTCCAGATGACCATTGAT